CGCCGCCGCCATGCCGCTCGGCCCCGGCCGCCTGGCGCGGGTGTCCCGCTGCCTCAGCTTCAGCGCCTGCCACCGCCTGCACAGGTGAGGGGCCGGGCCGCGGGGGGGCGCCGCCCCCATCCGTGTGCCTGTGCGTATGTGCATTTATGTACCACGTGTCTGTGCGTATCCGTGTGTGTGTGTGGAGTACAGGCAGACGAGGTTATTTGGGTCAATCCGATTTCTTTTATTAGACCAACTAAAAACCATAGAGCAGAAGGTTTTGTGACTGGAACAGGGCTTCAGCTGTGAGCATCTGATCAAACAGCGTTGGGTGAAGTGAGAGCTCGTCCTGTGCAGTGCACGCATCCCCCCGCCCCATCTGTCTATAATAAGGTGCACATCTCCCCTGCCTTCCACGTCCGTCTGACACAGGCAACTACATCTCCCATCTTGGGAAACTGCCCTGATAACTCAGCTCTGCATTTCTGAAGGTTGTGGTCTCTATAGTAGCTTTTCCCCAGTTCGTCACTCAAGCTCCTGCCTGGCACTCCATGTAAAACCCAAGATCTCACTAGCTAACACCCACAATCATCCCAACAGCGCAGGAAAGAGACGGCATGGAGTGCTGCAACCAGACGGACGCTGCGCCCTGGAACTGGACTGGCAGGTGCCACGTACGCATCAGTGGGGTTCTCCTTGCAAGCCCTTGTGGTCGTCCCTTAAGAGAAGGCAGCAGTTTCTTAGGAGTTTAGGTAGCCCAACCACTTCCAGTTAATAACACGAGGCACTAGGCATAGCTGTATATACTGCCATTTCCCATACACCACGTATATAAAAGTACTTAAGCATCTCTTCAAGTGTAGTGATACAGGCAAGTTTATCGTTATAGGAATTAATTAAAAGTTTTATTAATGGCCATTCTTGCATTAGTTACATGGTACAGAGCCTCCTAATTGGGCTCCTTTAACCCTCCAGAGCTGTTTCAGCAGCTAATAACACTGCCATAGAGAAACACAATCAGATTATTTATGGTAACAAAGCAATTAAAAAATGGCAGTGCCTCCCCAACATAATCCCTCTGTTCAACAATCAGGAATGGATTAGGTCTACATTTGATTGCTGCACCATGGTTTGTGTGGCTTTACTGCACCCTTTGAAACCAGGGGTTATCCATGCAAGTGGATTTAGGGTGTGGAAAGGAGGATGGGGAGAGCAAATCTTGCACGCACAAGCCGTGCGTGACTCAGGTGCTGTGCATAGATCCTGATTAGGAGACTCCTGTGAGCTCATTGAGTTACCACCAACTCAGGAAAGAGCCAGTTCCCCATCCCAAGGGAAATGGGAGCATGAGGGTGTTAATTGGACTCACATGCTCTTTGTTTATTTGTTGCAGCCCCTCACTGAGTGATGAAGAAAACCTGAAGCTCTTTGGGAAATGCAACAACCCTAATGGGCATGGGCACAACTATAAAGGTGAGGAGGTGCCCGGCCTGTGGGCCTAGATAAGAATGGCTTGGGGGTTGCAAGAGAAGAGGGTTGGGACAGTCACGTTGGTGGAAGTCAGTGATCCTGTTGTAACGGCATGGTCTGGCCTTTTCAGCTTTTTATTGGTGGAAGAGGCCATTTGCTGCAGTGAAAAATGCAGCTAATTCTCAACTGCAGAAAGTCCTAGGCCTGGATTTGGCTTTTGTGCCATTAAATCCAACAGAGTATAAAGATTCTGTCAGAATTGCATTAGTCAAACCAAGCTGCTTCTCCCGAGCGATCATAAATCATAATGGAGGTTTCACTGAGCAGCCGTATTACTCAAAAGCAAGCGTTAAGTGTTGTGCATGCAGCTGCCATGCTTCGTACACGTGCTCGTACACGTGAGGTTGGATTCTTTTAGTGAGCAGTGTCCTGTGGGGCTGGGCCTGTGCCCTCTGGGCCATCACATCCCCGCAGCTGCAGAGATGCAGGGCTGTGTGGGCCCATCCCTCCCTCTGTGACTTATCACCATCCGTGGAGGAGAGAAAGAAAGAACCTGTTTGCTCTGTGCTTAATATGACTTTTCTTTCTGTTATATTACAAGGGAGGTTGAGAACGTGAAGGGGGCAGGTACCTTGCCCAACAGCAGTCTTGAAATGGAGTTCATGAATGATTCTTAGGCAGGCAAGGAGAGAGGGTATAAAGCAGTGGGCAGGGAACATCTCATGGGAAGCCAGTCTGAGGAAAAAGGAGTTCAGTTTTTTCCAAAAACAAGATTAAGGGCACAAGAGTAAACTGTCTCTGGGGAAAGGAAAGGTAGGACATGTAGCCAAAACCCAACTCTCTCAGGAGCTCTTCAGTACCTAGAACTCAGGAAGGAATTACACAGAGTGGAAACAAGATTGCCAAGGATAGGTATAAATAGCACAAGCATCCGGAGGCAAAATCCCAAAGGGCAAGGCACAAAAGGAGTTACAGCCAGCAAGGGGCATAAAGGGTAACAAGAAAACTATGGCTAAGTGCTTAGTGATAGGAGGAAGACCAGAGAAGTAGTTGGCCCACTGCTCCATGGGGAGGGCAAACTAATAACTCAGGATGGCAGGAAAGCTGAAGTCCTTAACGCTGTTTTGCCTTCAGTCTTCACTAAAAAGGTGAGCTCCAATCAGCTGCCTAACTCGAATTCCTGAGAGCAATAAAAAGCTAAGAACCAAGGCTAGAATAAGGAAAGCAGTCGAGGCTGTTGAGATGAGATCGATATTTGCAAGTTAGCTGGGCCTGATGAAATCCCCCTTCACGTGCTTAGGGAAGTAGCTGAAACAATCTCAGAGCCACCTTTAAGAGCCTTTGTGGAAGGTGGGTGAGGTTCCCAAACATGGGAGAAAGGCAAACATGGTGCCTATCTTCAAACAGTAGGGGAAAGGGCTCAGGAAGTTATGGACCAATCAGCCTAGCATTAGTTTCCAGAAAGATACTGGGACAAATAATCCATCAGTTTGCAATCAAGTAGCAGATAACAGGACAATGAGTAATACCCAGCATGCATTTGTTAAAAGCAAACCATGTCAAACCAACCTGATTTTCTTCTAGGGCAGGGTAAGACAGGAATGCTGAATCAGTGGCTGTGATACATGTCCTTAGCCAGGCTTTGGTTATCGTCTCACAGGGCGCTTTCCTCAGCAAGCTTAGAAAATATGGTAAAAATACAGCTCCTGTAAGGGGGATTTGCAGCTGCTTGGAAAGCAGTATTCAGAGAGTAGTTCTCCATGGTCGCTCTTAAATGAGAGGGGTGTTGCAAGGGGGTTCTCATTTCTGCCCATTAGGGGTTCATAGCTACCAGGTAATCTGTCTTTTGTTTAAACCTGTTACAAGGACCCCTCTTTCTACTCCTCTGCCTATCAACACTGGTGCTTCTACTCAGGGTTGGAAATTCATCTGGGTCACAAGACCCTTGCCTCTGTACGTGCCCCAGAGCTCAGAGCCATCCACTTGGCATGCAGCATATTATTCCTGGCTCTTCGGGATCCCCAGTACACATGCTAGCAGCACATGCACAGTACACAGCTGTGCCTTGGCAAGGAGGAGCTGGGCCAGATCCTTTGCTAGGATGTCATATGGTTATGGGGGTGGGCTCGACTCCATGTCATACAAGGAGGTGATTCTCCAGTGACCATGAGTGGTCTATCAGAGTTATAGAGCCTCTCTGGCAAGTAGAGCTTCCCCAAAATAGACAAATTCACTGTAGACCACAAGTGCCAGACACCTTGTTTCCAGGGACAGTTGAATCCAGGCTCCCAGATGGGTGCCTTTTCATCCCCTGGACACTGGGTTGGCTGTATTGCCTTTCCACTGATCCTGGGGATACTAAGACTGCTGAGGAAACTGAAACACAATCCGAGTGTAACAGCAACAAGAGTCCTGACCTGGACCAGGTCCTTCTGGCACTCTGATCTAATGACCTTCCAGTGCATCCCTGTATCACCCCACCGGCTCTGACTCAAGGCTTTGCAAAACAGTCAGCTTGTACTTGTGCCCCTGCTTCCTTGTTGCTCCCGGTCTGAGGGTGGCTGCACGGTTCCACCCAAGCAAGATTCTCCTGGGCAGCCTCTAGTTCAGCCGCCTGCAGGAGGGCTCCTGTTTTTGTCTTGGCTTCTACAGTCTCCCTTGACATTATCAGTCAGGTTGCAGAAAGAACCAAGGGACTGTTGAGCCCTCTCTGGCCCCCATGCCTTCTAGTGGGGGTGGCATCAGAAGGGCAGTTAGGATGCAGGTGTAACTCCAGAGGACACTTGACAGAAAGAATCTGATCTTGTACACGTGGACCTGTGCACACTGGCAGTGGACAGCACACCTAAGAGTGACTGCATAACTTTTCTTGATGCAGTGGATCTTGATTTAAACAGTTGTATCTCACGTTGGCTAAGAGCTTTCGGCCCACTCGCTGAAGCTGATTAACACTGTGTGGTCTGTCTCTTGTAACATGTTCTCCCAGGCCCTGACTTGCACCTCTAACTTGGTGTTTTTCTTCCTCTAGTTGTCGTGACTGTACGTGGGGAGGTGAGTGCCAACGTGATTTCCTTCCTGTTCTTAGAAGTAGCAGGATGTGGAGTTCCATGTGCAAATGCATGACACCTGCAGAAGTAGCTTCAGCAGAGCTACTGAAAGCCTTGGATTCCTTGAAAAACCTCTGTCCCCTTCACCACAAAGAGGAAGGTTTTTTTAACTGCCTGTGTGTGAGATGGGTCTGCAAAAAGCAGCTCTCCTTTTCATTGTCCCTCTCTGCAGGATGTCCAGGGGCCATCTTAAACCTCTGTCTTGCAACAAAATTAATTTGCTGGGAAGTTGCACCTTCATGGAGCTCACTGCAGATCAAGGATACGTGCATCTCGGGGCAGCTTTACAGTCTGGGGAGCTATTTTGTTTTGGAAATGCCTTGTTCTAGTGGGTCCCAAATGAGAATTCTTGCCAGATGAGATCTTTATTCCTGCCTTAGACAGCATTTGGAGGTGAAGAGGGATTTTTTTCTTGAGACACCACCACATGGTTACATTTAGGGTGCTGCAGATGCAAAACAAACTATGCTGCCTAAACTTTTTGGCACGGCTCAAAACATGCATGAGTAGTAAGGACTTATAGTTGGTCTGGCTAATCTGTTTTCTGTCTCTTTGCCCTGTAGATTGACCCTGTCTCAGGAATGGTTATAAACCTGACAGACCTGAAAGAGCACATGCAGGTAATAGTGCTGCATTGCTGGCGATACCCCACTGGGGATTTAGCTGTGGCGTAAAAGTTTGCATGTGCCTAGTGGTGGGAAGGAGTCTGTTTTGCTGGAGAGGAAAGCACAGTGCTGCAGCATGGCATCCTCTTGGAGTGTAATGTCCCCTTCTGGTCCCCACACTGATCTGTGATGTGGCTGCTGCTGTCTGTCTAAAACAACTCTGCCCTGCTACCTTCCTCCCAACACTGCATAACTCAGGTCTTTCTGGAGAAGTTTGGCATTGGCCCTAATGAGATTTCCTTACCACTATTCCCCGGGGTGCTCTTCAGGGCCATTTCGAACCACCTCCTCACCCCGAGCATGAGTCTGCAAAGCTTCGAAGCTGTTATTTCCCGTGTGCCTGGGTGTTTCATTGATGGAGCCACTAACATCTTTCCTCCCTGCCCCCAGGAGGCCATCATGAAGCCACTTGACCACAAGAACCTGGATAAGGATGTGGAGTATTTCTCTGATGTTGTGAGGTGGGTAGTGGGGACTAATAGGGGGACTGAGGCACCAGCAGAGTCCGGCCTGTGCCAACTTACAGATGGCATGTGACATGTCTGCTGGCACCTGTTTCAACCCTGGTACTTCTCAAAGTACAATTTCATTTAGCTTAACTGACCACCTCTCAGTGTCCTCTCCCTTTTGTTCATGGTCCGTGGGCGGGTACTGCGTCTCTGCTGAATTTGGCCCTGTTTTACCTGCAGTACGACAGAGAATGTCGCTGTCTTCATCTGGGAAAACCTCCAGAAGCGCCTGCCCCTGCGGACTCTTTACAAAGTCAAGGTGTATGAAACGGACCAGAACATCGTCGTGTACAAGGGAGAAGAAACAACTTATGAGTGATGAAGCTGCAGCCTTGGCATAGTCGATCATAAGCTTCTCGTGAATAATCAGATCAGCATATCAGTGGATTATCTAGGTCCCCCCATGCTGTGTCTGTGGCTTGTAGACATTGATTTTGTAGTGTTTATTAATAAGGACACTTAGACATCTGTGGGGAGAATCACTGCGGGAAGCTAAGGAGGCTTCCTAGTTGGTTCTGGGTTCTCAGAATGTGCTGGCATCTCTTTCTCAAGCAGAAGGCAGGGTTCAAGTCAGAGATGCATAGCATAAGCTTGTGTAAGCAGCAGGTGTACTTCACTCGAAGCACACATACTCACACATACATATGTACATCAAGTAAAGCAAGGCTGCTGCTTACAAAAGCTGATGTTACACATCTCTGATTTAGTTAGTCTACAAGATGCAAACCTACCCTGCCTTCTGTCTGACTTCAGACTACCATGGCTAACTACATCTGTCTCAAAACATTTCACTTCTGAAACCCAAACCACCAAGGTTATGTGAAATCCTCTGGGCCTTAAATAAGGCAGTGCTGCTTTCTGGAAATGAAGTGGACCAACTATATGTGCACCCTTTCCCCTGGCAAAAATTCTTTTAATATATCTTTTAAAATATCTTTTGCAATTAAACCTTGTGGAATCAGTGGCTCTGGGGATAGTTTCTGATGATGTGGAGAATAAGAGGTAGGATTTCCCTCTCTGTGCTGCAGACCTGCTCCTCCCTCTAGCTGCCAGCTCTCTCCTTTACATGGCAAGGGGCTCTGGGCAGGAGTGTGGCTGCCCATGCAAACTGGCAGCTTTAAATCATAGAAAGTCCCAGCAGATTAGAGAAGCAGCCAACAGAGCAAAGGGAACAGAGCCAGGCAATGGTTGGGTTAGTTAAACTATGTGGATTGTTATGTTTTCCTTGGTGAATGCCATCCTCTCCCAGTAAATACCTCCCTGGTGGGGAGCTAGCCACGGCTCCATGCCAGTATCACTCATCACATAGCAGGTGAAGTGGCCAGTGTTCACTCGCTTGGTTTTGTGGAAGCTGTCTCAGAGCCCTCTCCTCCAGCTGCAGCTGTGGCTGAGGGGATGCTGCAGCTCTTCAGAGGTCCTCCCAGCCTGTGCTGCAGGAGGATAAAACCCCTATTTGATGCCAGGAAGGGTCTGATCCCTGGGCCTGGCTTATAGCTGCTGTTAGCCCTCTGAGAATTCACAAACCTTTCCGTGTCTTGGCCGTGCCAGAAATCAATGCAAACTGCTGTTGCTAATAGCCTTGTGGCCAGGTTGTTGACATTGACCACAAATGTTTTAAAGGAGCTTTGAATACCCACAGCAAGCCTCTGGGTCCCTAGAGAGGCGCATGTGACCAAGTGGCAGTCACTATAATTTTGATGTGAAAGTCACTTCATAAGATGGCTCTGATCATCAAATTCATAAGATGAATTGAGCCTCAACTTATGAAAGCTTGGGCTATATATATCTACTCTGGTTGGTATATAAGGTGCAAATCTACGCTTGCTTCTACTTGACTTCAGGCCAACACAGCTAACTACGTGTCTGCTCTGTAGAGAAAGTCCCCAGCAAGCCCACATGGAGGCAAGAAGGGACAGATCTTCTTACCCCCATGTCGCTGGTCAGATCTGCTCTTACCAAAAGAGACAGAAATACAAATCCAGTTGGCAGTGACTTGCATGACATGGGTTGGCTCCCTGCCTCATGGTATAGCTGGTGGCGCATGTACATATATATACATACCTATTTGTCTCCATAGATCCCATGTCCAGCTGTGGCTCAGCATCACAAGTTACCTAGTGCTGAGATTTTCTAGAACCAAGCTCCACTTCTCGTATCACGAGGACTGTCCTGTTGCTTACTCAGAAATGTGGTTGCAGCAGGTGAGGCAAGTCAGCCTGATGAGCAGCTGGGACCCTGTGTGGTGCTGCACTTCCACTCGCATTGTATAGGGCTTTAGTCTGTACAATGAGAAAGAATCAAGGGGGAGCTCTGGGCCTGTCTGCTGGATGAGTAACCAGACCACAGCCAGGTTTTAACTGCAGGGACTGGTGCTGCTTGCATTAATAGCTTGGAAAGTTTTCTCATGTCATCCTACCTTCTGCAAGAAAAAGTCCTTCTTATGTTTGCTCTCAAGCAGTGACAATGCGAGGACTCTGGGGACAGCCACTGGTTTTGAATGATGCCCTGAGATAGTGAAACAGGGCAGCACCCAAGGACTGATATGACAGAAGGTCCTAGCAGGGAAAATACTGTGACCACTCAGGTGGCTTTCCTAGTTGCTGGGGATAGCTACTTTTCTGGCATGGGGCAGTACTTGCACAGGTTTCATAGATTTCATAGACATTTGGGCTGCAAGGGACCCTGGAGGATCTTCGAGTTCAGCCCTCTTCCCCCGGGGGCAGGAAGTCAGCTGGGGTCATAGGATCCCAGCAAAATAGACATCCAAATGTGTCTCGAAGGCGTTCAAAGTGGGTGCTTGAACCGCCTCTGGTGGCAGGCTATTTGAGACCCTGGGGGCTCGCACAGTAAAGAAGTTCTTCCTTATGTCCAGCCTGAATTGGTCGCGGTAGAGTTTGTGACTTCTTGGGGCGGAGTTTGTGTCATCTCTTGGGGCGCTCTGGTGAACAGACGTTCCCCCAGATCCTGGTGGTCACCCCTGATAAACTTATAGGTGGCCATCAGATCACCCCTGAGCCTGTGCTTTTCCAGGCTAAAGAGCCCCATGGCTCTCAGCCTGTCGTCGTAAGGTCTGTTTTCCTGACCTCTAATCATGCGCGTGGCTCTTCTCTGGACTCTCTCAAGCTTCTCCACATCCTTTTTGAATTGTGGAGCCCAAAACTGGATGCAGTACTCCAGCTGCGGCCTCACCAAGGCCGAGTACAGTGGGAGAATGACGTCCTGGGATTTGCTTGAGAAGCATCTATGGATGCAAGCCAGCGTTTTGGTCGCTTTAGTAGCCACAGCATCGCATTGCAGGCTCATGTTCATCTTGTGGTCAATGATGACCCCAAGTCTCTTTCTTCCGTAGTGCTAGCCA